ATTTAGAAATAATGAATTACCTCCTTGGTTGCAACCCCTCTTAAAAACTAAAAAAAGGCCTACGAACACGAGCGGGAAGGATGAAAGCGAGTTGGTATGCTAATTCCTCATCCGCAAATCAGCCCTTCCCGTGGGTTATTTTCTCAACGAATAAGTAATTCTAGGAATGAAATCTTTATTTAATTCGAAAAAGCAAAGCACAAGTCCAAGCACAATATCGCCCCCAATATGCCAATATCGGGGTTTCCGCTAGGAAAGAGGCACCTGTGAATTTCTTGACTGACCCGGTAGAAGGAAGGTCAACTCTCAGACCGGCTGACATTTTGATTTTTGGATGGATCGGAGGGAAACACGCTTGTGTTGACCTTATAGGGGTATCCCCTTTCGTGGGCTTGAGGGTTGGGGGTTTCACAGCGGAACAGGTTGATTTAAAAGCTGCTACAGGCAAAGTCACCAAACATGAGAAATCGTGCATGGAAAATCAACACGTGTTCATACCATTCACATTTGATATGTTTGGTTTCTCGCGCCGGATGCGGTAGAGCTTCTTAATAGAGTACAACAGATCATGCATAACAATGTTATATCCCCTACATCTATGGATATAGTCTTTTAAAGAATTAGATTTGACATACAAAAAGATTTAGCGGCATAGCTTGTTGCCCGTTTGTTATCTCACTTGTTGTACGATGATAATTAAATTAATGAAAAAAAAAGTTTCAGTTAAAACCGTTTTTTAACCTATCTAAATCTTCTTTTTTTTATAAAAAAAAGTATTTAAAAGAAGGATCCAGAAAACTGGTTTTTCAAAAGTTTTAAAATCCTATTCTAAACCGCCGGTTTGTTTAAAAGTTGGTTCGATTATAAAAAAACGGTCCAAGGTTTTTTCCACCGGTTAAAAAAACCCGGTGCTTTTGTGCACTTCTGATCTATGTTGATCTATGTTAGGGTTGTTGATCTTGGCTGCCTGCTATGCTTAGTTATACAATTGTTTTCATAATTTTTGTTGCTGTTCAAGAAAATAAGTCGAACCAACTCTGGATAATATACTAAATAGAAGTTGCATTTAGATGTTTAATTCATACATTCGATTGTCAATATGGAATCAAAGCATATCATCATAAATATGGAATGGAAATATAGAAACCAACGAGCAAAGAAAAATCATCCCTTTGATTGTGCAATATACAAGATATATCTCCCCGATTGTGAAATACTGAAACATATCATCACAAATATCTTCTCAAAGAAACTGTCCAGTACACTGAAAGGAGTACCAATGGGGAGTGAACACAGTAGGTGTTGATGGATATGTTGACTCTCATGCCCAAAACATGCTTATTAGACAAATGATCTCTATATGTACAATAGAGCTGCTGATAAAAGAGAGCAGATTGAGTGAGCTAGGTAACTGATGAAATCAGTTCAAGTTAAAGTAGATAGATTTTTTGTACAAGTGGAAATGGGTTTGCTACATTTGGGTCGAATCAAAACAGTTTCTATCCAACTTTTGGGGGTTTTCTTAATAAATAACTAGTGCTTTATAAGACTGTAAAAACTATAAAATAATCTAATTATTCCAATATAGGCAATGTTACCCTCAATAACAACACACTTGTATTTCTTTACAGATAATAGCAATTTACTTTCTTTTTACCTATAATAGCAATGTACTTACATTTTGCTACCAATTATATGGTGATTGTACTTTATGTGTTACATAGTGCTATTATCGTTTAAGAAATGTAAGTGCATTGCATTCATGAGTAAAGAAGTGTAAGTACATTGCTACTATGTGTTGAGAACATGTAAGTACGTTGCTATTATGAGATACATATCGCTATGATTTGTAAAAATTGTAAGCATGTTGTTTATGTCAATAACTATTACAGCAAAAGTAGCGTTTCCATGTAGGAATTCACATTGAAGGAAAAAGGATATACAGAAATCTCAAGAAAATTGTTGTGTTCAGAATTGGGTTCATAAACAACAAGTCTAGGCGGTTCATCATCATCATCGTCATCATATGCCACTTGAATTATAGGTGTGCCATTTTTCCTAAATCCCACTATAAAGTCATGCGGTGTCTTAATGTCAAACAACTTTGTAAACAACTTTTGAACACCATGTTCCATCATCCATACAGTACAGATGTCTCCCCCAGGATAGATGTCTCCACTGTACTTAAACATGGCAAGAGAATCCCGTACCTTAGAAATAAAAAAGTTCACAGGATGATGGCGAGCTAGGCTATCCGGAAGGTCTATGGATTCAAAACTCTCATTAGTCACATCAAATGACATAATCATATTATGAGTGCTTGACCCTGCAGAATGCGAATAGATAAACCGATCAGTAACTACCACCGGACTCCAATCTCGAACCGGTTTAGCGGGCAGATTGGTGGATAAATTTCTCCATTTCCCTGAGTTCAGAGTGTAAACCAAAACTTCGAAACGGTAACTGGTTTCGATATTTGGGTCATCCCAAGATTGTGTAATCAAAACGATCTTAGGGTCACCAGTGACACGACAAACCCCAAAACCAACAGATGGTTTGCTTTTGCCAACAGATACAGCAACAACAATCGATTTTCTAATTGAAGGATTCCAAAGAGCAACCATCTTAGTTGTAAGGTCGGGATCAGAGCCATACAAGCACAATAAGCCGTGAGAGCTACCAACTACTGCCGGTTTCTTAAGTTCTTTAATTGATACAGGAACAGTCAAAAGAGACCTCTGTTGGCGGAAAGTGTCACCATCGATATAAGAAACATACTTTATCCCTTCTTCCGGATCTTCATACGATACAAGCAGATGCTGTGGCTGAGTGTGGCGGCGGAGGCTGTGAGCAGCAATAAACTCGGAGCTGTCGATCAAAGACTTCCATGCTTTTGAGACGCTTCTGAACTGAACCAATGATTTCACAGGAAGCCTTTTCATGATTTCCTCTTGAATATGGAAAGGTATTTCGTATTCACACATTTTGATTCTGGTTGTGGTTGCTGTTACTTAACTATCAAATTCACATATTGCAACAAAGTAAAATTACAAATAAAAACAAAAAACTAGTAATCCATCTACTCAATCGTAGTAGCCAAAATGCCAAACTGCAATAGGCAAGTAGCCACTATTCAAGGTAAACGCAAACTGCAGTAGCCAAATAGCAATCCCATGATTTTGAATATAACACAAATTATAAGAAAATTTTGAATGAAGATGTGTGCAAATTAGCCATCGTTGTCCATCAACCATGTGCATTGAACGGAGGCTAGATGTGAGAAACTATTTGATAATGCAATTATCAAAGGTAATCGACCTTTGGAGTAGGAATCAAGTAGCATTTGAAGGTAACTGATTATAAATTACGTTGGTATATGTTTTTATGGTTAAATCATGAAATTCCATACTGAATTAACGCATATAACAAAAATGTTTGATTATGCGTAATGGTGTGCATAGGTTTTAGCTGAATAAATATCAGATTTATATTTTAGATATGGATTAAATTATTAGTTGGAAATGAAGTGCAAATTGGAGGTTTTACAAGCAATTTCTGGAATGGTTTTAATTACCAGGTGAAAATTAACCTCAGGGGTTGTGGAGAGTGTGTGTGAGTACGTAATCGGGAATATGACATAAAATCCTGATTAATTGTTATTATACTTCAATCAACAATACCAACTGGTTCCTCTAATTAAAAAATTGTATCCGCTACAAATAAACAATCCTCACTCAAATAAAGAAAGAATCACAAACTGCATACAGAAACATAAACAACGATTGCTTCAAGTTCATCAAATACAGTCTTTGAACATACGAAGAACCGTTGATAACTTGGTTTTTAAGATGTAGATAAATCACAAACTACATACCGATCACAAACAGCAGTGCCGGTGGCGAAGAAGATGCAGTCACGCAGAAGCGACAGTCACAGATGAGGACGATGGTAATCACTGAGCAGTTGTGGGTTCAAGGCCTTCTTACACGATTTGAGGGGCACTACGACTTTTTTGCACACGATTTGAGAATAGGTCAAAGTTGGACGAAATCCATTTATTAAAATATTGTAAAAAGACCTTTTCTCTTTTTCATTTATTTTATTTTTTTATTTGTATTTTAAATTTAAGAGAATACTTTATTTCAATCTTTTTATTTTTTTAATAATATAAAAAATAATGTTTTTTTTGTTTTTTTTTTTTAATAAAAATTGTTCACTTGGAATAATAAAATTATTGTAGTTTCATCTTTTGATGATAGGAATTAACAATTAGGTAAATTTATTTTATATCACACAAGAAATTTGTATATCGACTGTGTAAGGTAAACAACATACTGTAAGGTAAACAAACTATGTTGTGTTGAAATTTTTTTTGAATGACAAAACTAATTATTTTAAAAACTATATTTATGCATTTTGTGATCTTAACATTATCATGCATTACTTGTTGAACTATATTGATGAGCCTATAGTATCTATCATAAGAAAACCAAATGTATCAAAAACGAATGATATAAAAACGCATTGACTTTCATGCATGTTTTCTGATATTTTGTCACTTTGCTTAAGACAACTTTTAAAACAGATTCCCCAAAGTGAAACTCCCATTCATTCTCCTCAAGCCCACGAGAAAGAAAACAATAGTTAGTTCCACATATATGTGTTTCCTTTCTACCTATCCAAAAACCAAAACATCAATTGATCTAAGTGTTAATCTTCCTTCCAAGGGGTCAATCAAGAAGTACAAAGATGCCTTTCTTTTGCTAAAATCTGACGCGCCTATATACGTAAAAAAACGTTTGTGACCCACGTTGTGTCGGTACTTGAATATCAGGAGCTCTCTACAATGTGTTGCATTCTCCCCAAAAGAGTCCAAGCATGCCTTGTGACAAACTTGGCATATCTCATCAACCGAAAATAATTAAAACACAAGGCGATATTTAAGGATATTATGATATTTCATTGGTGACATGTTGGAAAACATCATCTATAGGATAGCCAAATGAAGATCCTCATCATGTGGTGCTCATAGATATTAAAGAATTGCTTTCTATCTAATAGTCACGTTGAAGTGTACTAAAAAGGGAACTCGTTGATGCCAATGCATGTTGGAATTTAATGGGGGGAAGGGTTGTCCTTATTAGTGAAAGTACTAAAGTCGAAGCTCTGAATTATATCATGAAGACAAACCAAAGCATAAACATAATCACAATACATACCATATATATGTCATTATCTCGTAATATGTGATATTGTAACACCCAAGATTAAGCCCCTTCATGTCATGAAAGCATATGAAAGCCTCTGCGACCTAGTTCAACCCCAAACCACAAAACATAATGGTAAAAAAGAAAGTTTCACTAGATGTCTAAAAGAAAGGGCATCCACAAACCACCATGTTCTCGATTGACCCAAGTAATCATTTCCAAAAAACAATGTCACGTATCTAAAATGTTACGATGATCACAAAGGCACAAGTAGGGTAACATATTATCATTTTATATATATTTTTTATTACTATTATGGGTAAAGAATAAACTATAATGTTCATGCCGTTAAGAATAACAAAATATGTTGTTATTCGTCGTAACTTGCCCATTATTAGTTTAGATTAAAAATGTATAATTCGATATGGAACTATTAATGTGTAGCAAATTGTGTTATAACTTAGCTACGAATTACATATTTCATTTCTACCTTTGGATTGTCCTCTTCTTATTGACTTCGATCTTTCTCTACCGTTCCCACCCCTTCCCGGCTTCCTGCCCTTTCTTCTTCGTTGCTTAACATAATGTCAGAGCACTCTCCATCATTTTACTTCAGATATCTTCCTTGAGGATAAAATATTCAATGCTCTCAAATGTAAGTTTTGGAGTCCTGGAGGAATTACTCACTACAGTAACCGTTCAAGACTGGCTATATGGAAGCGAATCAAATCTGTCACATACTCACCTTCCTTCATCCTCGTGTTCACAACTTGTCAAATCAATAAACTTTGTTGGTTGTAGAAGACTTTTCCTACATGTTAGACAACACCTTTATTAGTCCAAACTTTGTCCTTTCATTAACAATGTTGTACGTAATGTTCCTTGTTAATGACAATCAGACAACACTAAAGGTCTAACGATCAAACATATCACAATCTTCCTGCTTCATCTCTCTATGTCTCCTTCTGATTTGTGATTTCAACCCTATTGTCTGGGGTATCACGAAATCCAATTTGGGATAACCCAAGAAAGAATAAATATGGATTTCAGGCAAAATCTAAGATTTCAACACATAATACCTTGCTTTTCTGTGTTCTTTAGGGACAAATTGTAGAGAGAAGCAATTTTGTTATCTCTATATTTTGCAACGTTCAAATCCTCTATTTATATATAGAAGATGATGGTTTTTAATAGAAAATGTGCTCCTATTTAATAAATGAAAACATTGGATGATTGGAATCCCACCAGGGAACAGGGGCTTTGTCCCCAAATCCTCGTGTTCCCGAGTCCTCTTTAGTTATAGCTTTGTCCATGGATCCACGTGTTCCCAAGTCCTCTTTAGTTATATGATATGCAATATGCACCTCTGTCTCGAAATATAACCAAATAGAACTCAACTTGTCTCAAAATACTGACGGTAACATCCTGTTTTTTGGGACTAAAAGTTTTGAGCTTTTTGGTAAAAATAAAAATCTTTCATTAATTTGAAATAAGATAAATCGAAAAGAAATAAATTAAAAAAATAGAAATGTGAGGAAATGATAGTAATAATAATAATAATAATAATAATAATAATAATAATAATAATAATAATAATAATAATAATAATAATAATCATCATCTTGTCATTAGTTGGTATTTTTAAAATAATAAAATTTTAATGTCTAGCGAAGTATTTTTGTTAGAAGGGTCAATTGTGTCAAAAGAAAGAAACTTAGGTTTTACTTGATAGTTGACAAACTAAGTGACTTGGACTAAGATTTTAGAGGTTATGATGGAAAGGGACCATTTTGGAAGATATTAGAAGTTCCTTAGTTTGGAGTCATTTTGAAAGAGCTTTTGTAAGGAGGGACTAAAAGTGGCTAAGTGACCATTGATGTGTCTATTTGAAGCATCCTTCTTCCTCATTTCCTCCATTCATGATTTCAGCCTCTTGTCCTCTCCATGGATCAATTTAACCTCCTAAATCCATGTTGTCTTGATGCTTGAAGATTCTACTTGAAGCTTGGTCAAATTCCTTCAGAATCCAATAACCAGAAGTAGTTTTCTTCTTCCTTTTCTCTTCAATTTCATGTTAATGGCCATGTGGATCTCTAATTCTGATTTCATCTTCAATATTTGGTGTTTTCATGATGTTTATGTTGTGATATCACTCTATGGTCCATCTCCAAGCTCCAACTAGCTAATAGTTGTGAGTTTTGTATGTTTTGGGTTGTTTTGATGGGTTTTCTAAACCCTAGATGGTGAAATACGAATATAATCTTATTTGTTTAGAATTGACTTTGATTTTATGATTAATGAACATATTTAACTTCAAATACATGATATATTTTTCAAATTGTGACTTATGGTGAGATTTCTTGATGCTTGGTTCAAATCCAACATCCATAGGGATGATTTGGGTGTTTTCAATTCTAGGAATTATTGATCCAATTTTGGTGAACCAATGTTGTTACAAAGTTGTTTTCATACTAAAAAGATGATGATTTATGTTCCAAAATCTAAGTCATATTATGATTCATGCTTCAATTTGGTATTTGTTGAGCTTTTATGAGATGTTGAGCTTCATTGAAGTTTATATGAAGATTTAAGCTCAATTAATGAGTGGATAATCTTCACGAGCTCTTAATTTCATATGTTTTAAGTTGTAGGAATCATGTTTGGTCTTATTGGTTCAACTACCATTCACATATAGTGAATTGTAACATCTAGAAAATCAGAGTAAATTTAAATTTTCCAAAAACATACCAATAACCATAAATGTTTACAAAACCATT